AAACCCAAGGGGTAGGCTCTATGACTTTCTCTGTGATCCCGAGACTCTGCAACCGCTCCAACTCTCGTTTCAGCTTTCCCTTGAGCGTGCCTGGTACTCTTCTGGGAGGATGGACCACTGGCCTAGCATTCTCTTCAATTTCCAGCTTGTACCGCGCCTTCAATTTTCCAGTGCCTTGAAACACACCTGCGTACTCCTTTAAAAGTTCTTCCATCGAAAGGGGCCCCTGATTATCGCGCTTAACCCCAGTATTGACGGTCATAAGATTTTGGTGTTGCACTCTGACCAAATCCATCTGCTGCATTGTTGGATTTCCTAAAATCGGTGTTGACTGGTCATCGTCCACAACAACAAATTCGATCTGATAGAGTTCCGAGATCAAGTCAGGGAAAGGATATTAACAGGCGAATAGTTTATGCTTCCTATGAAATGGGAGTGGGAAAGGAAGGCATTGCAAAACTTTGCGAAGTTCTCAACATGCCCTTCACAATGTCTAAATTGACTTGGTGCAGTCATGAGGATGTGTTGCTTCAAGCACATAAAGATGTTGTACCTATGCAAAATGTTGGAGAGTAACAGAGAAGCCAGAAAGATTGCTTTTGAGGAAGATGGAGTGGAAAATTCTGACACTGCCATAGGAGAAATACCAGTTAGTTTTGATGGAACTTGGTCAAGGAGGAGGTTCTCAGCCAATCATGGAATTAGCTTTCTAATTTCTGCCTCGACTGGAAAGGTACTTGACTACGAGCGTATTTCGAAGATTTGCAACATATGCACCCAGAAGAAAGTCTCAATGTCTGAGGAGGAATTTGAGGCATGGGAAGAACAGCATGCCTGTGATGGCAATTTTTCTGCTTCAAGCCCGAGTATGGAATTAGAGGCTGCAAAAAGGATTTGGAGAAGCCAAGAATTACAAGCCATAGCCAGAAATTGTGGACGGCAAGCGGCAGTCAACGCGGGCACAAAAAACCAAAATAAATCAAAATGGCGGTTAGAGCGAATAAAAGAGTAAGTAAGGGCTATTACAAGGATTTAAATGATGTGAGCACTGCTGTTGAAAGTAAAGTGAAGAGAAAAACCTCCTCGGGTAAGTTGGAATACCAAAAGAAAATATCTCACTATTG